GACATGGGTGATGAAATATGAAATTTTCATATTGCATCAACACAAAACAAAGAGCCGTCCTTGTAAAAGTTCCAATGCTGATGTGCACATGCAACTTCTGTCTCGACCTTTTCCCTCTTTCCCCTTCTTACAGCCCTTGTTCATTTATATTCTGCTGAGCTGCTTGAGCCTTTGAGTGATAAAGCCATGAAAGAGAGACTGAGAGAAGGATGGATTCGGAGGGGGAAGAGGAGGTCCGGCGGTACTCCAATGATGAAAGTGAGTCTTCCCCAAGCTGCTCCTGACTTATCTTATGACACACAATAGCTGCTTTAAATACCCTTGAAGTCCCTTGCGGTGGCTAGTTTGGAGTGACAGTGACAAGAATAGGGAAGGCTACATGGTTTTAAATTCTTGATGAAATTGCAATTAAGACACCAGAAGAAGAACTGAGCCCGAGGCTGTGCAAGCAACAACCAAAAAGAAACAACAAGGATGAGGAGGAAATACATGAAAAGTTAATTCTGCTCCGTGGGCTTTAATTCTGGTGGTCTGTCATCATATATAACCCTCCCTTAAAAGTGTAGATGAGATGAAACTGAAAATGCCCATTAAGTCTCATGTATTAACCACAGCCCAGCGGGTTCTCTGCAGCTTTAATGAGCAGTAATCCACTAGTGTTTGGCCACAATACTCCACAACGTGGAAAGATATTCTGCAGGCCATATGCAGCTAAAGCAAAACAAAAGCTTGGAAACTGCATCGAGGTTTGAATCTTCACTTTCAGGGACTTTGATGTCCCACCAGTTTGGCTGGAGAAATCCTCAAGGGTCTCTTCCACTGCCCTTTCTGGAGAGTTCTTGTGCTCTTGTCACTTGTCCCCTGATTATAGCCTTAATGCTGTCACTTTCAGTAAGATTAACTGCTGAAGCCTTGAAGGGAAACTGCCTTTTTGCACCCAGAATATCAGGTTATTGGAAGTTTGACCGGATGTATGTGCCTCTGCAGTTTTACACTAAAGAGAGTGCAAAGCCGGATTCTCCTTATAAAGCAGAGGAGACGTCTCAGCAAAAGGCTAAGCTCCAGTTGTGGAAATGTAAGCACTTCTGAATTTTGCTTTATTACCCTTTAAATGATGGTCCCCAGCATTTTGATACGAGTTAAATATATTTTATAATTCAGATTATTCCAGTATGCTCTAGTATATCTTTTGTGCATATTATCTTCTACATCAGAAATCCTAAAATTATTCTCCCTGACACCTACAGTTTTTTATAAGGATTGTAATCCAGCCAATGCCAATTTACTGACCTAACAAGCTACAACCTCCTGGGATGGGTGAGTGGAGGGTCCAGAGAAACTACCGGGTTCACATAATTATACATCTTCTCAAGCATGTAAGCGCTGCTCCTCTCAGCATCTTATCAGCCTGTGGCATCGACGCACGGTCCAATCAGTGGCCTCGCATTTTGTGCATGGCTGCTCTGTCTGCCTGCCCAGCACTCCTAAGGGTGAAGCCCAGGGGCCACTCACCATCTGCTACTGTCACTGGGGGTGGCACTATCACGTTTACAGTGCCATGCCAGCCCAATGAGCGCAGGAACAGGCTTTCACCCTCTCTTCAACTGCCCTTAGACCTGCTGTCTCCCAAAGGTTAATCACATCTGCATGATGCACACTGGTTGCTGATCCAGAAGCATGTTCTTTACCGGCTAGCATTGGCCACAAAATGTTTGAGTTTAGACTACGACAGCAGTTTTCACAGTTTCAACATTCAGTAAATCTCACATTTCACAATTAGGATACGATCATTTCATGGGATGCTCCAAACTCCAAAGCTGATGATTCTTCTTATGCAGCCAATTCAAACTTTTTTGGAGAGCTGTTATCAGATTTCAGAGATTAATTTGCCCCTTGGAAGTACGGCGTCTGGCATGAAAAATCAAACCAGCATTTGAAGGCTTGCTGGAGGGACATGCCTGATATGCTGCAGCACATCACTCGCAATGCTAATTGGATGTTTGGACTATTTTTAAAAGGTCCCCTGAACCCACGGCCAGCCTTTTAAAGAGCGGTTGATAAATAATTAAATCGACACAGATAGAGTTGAAGAATATTTAACTGCTACCCCCATTTAAAGTCTTAGCTTTACAAACCATCAACTTCATAATCTCTTAATTTAAACCCCCCCACCCCCACCCAATCTCCAAGGTTTAGAGGCAGCATACACACTCTGCTGGAGAACATCTTTATTGAAATCCAACCTGAGACATGTTGACATCTGTTTCCCTAATGACTTTCATTCAGTGCCCATTCAGTCACTGACTGCATAGTGAACCAGCCTATTTGTGCACTATTCAAATCCGTGTTATCGCTGACACAATTTACACCACAGGTTTTCTGAAAGGTCGGATACTCCACCATAAGTCCCATATAGCTCAGGATTCAGCTTAGCTCGGCCCACATTAAGTCCTCATAAATCTATGTATGTTTGTCATTTATAGATCTTATAGATCGTTATACTTTGTGAGATCAATGGCAGGGCTGTCAGGGGATTTGTAAAAGGTGGGGCGTTATGTAGCATGCTCCCAAGAGACAAATCCAAACACGCTTCCCTATGTTTTCTTTCATTGCCTATGATACACATAGAGAGAAAGATTAAAAGCACCGCCTCATGAATAATCAGAGAAATAAACTCATGTGGAGATGAAGCGTGATTCAGGAGCATGTTTCAACATGAGGGCTTGACATTGTGAAAAACTGAGAGTTAAGACTGCCAGGAGCATTGGATGCTGACCTGAGAGTACACTGATGCCAACACCCGCTTTATTTGAATGCCAAATTGAAAACACCACAACCTTCCCATCTTTGCCAGCTTCATATCTTAATCCTCCTCAGGCTTTATCACCTAAATCACCTTCGAGAACAAAAGCGGATCCTTTAGGTGGCTTGCTGCACCTATTGCCTGCGTGCCATCCCTCTCTGCTCCCTGCACAGATTTGGCTCCGGGCCACCGCACTCAGGCTCTGTGAGAGAATATGAATGGCATTAGCTCCGGGCTGTTGCCATGGTGTTGACTTACAGTATTTACTGTGCATCAGCCCACTGACTTCAAACAGCACAGTACACGTTTTGGCTGCCATATTAGTGTCAGTGTTGTCATCCAAAGGACACATTTCCACTGGGTGATTTAAAAATGTATACTGTGGCTGCTTAGAAACAACAAAGAAGTTATGAGCAAATGCAAAAAAGTCCTGTAAGCTTAAGACACCAATAGAAAATGTGCATTATTATAATAGAATAAACCTAATATAAAATATTTATTGGGTTTCATTATTAACACATCCAATAAAAAGCATAAGATTTCCAATGAGATCAGACCAGTTATGATGTTTATTAAAAATGGGATGAAAAACACAGTTGGGATCTTTTTCTAATTTGGGCTCCTAATGAATAACATACATCTCTGAGTTCATTTGGATTGTTGATGTCTTGGGCAGCTGTTTTCTTGAGCAACAGCTGGACTCACATTTGAATGCAACCATATGCAGGAATGTCACTGACATTTACAGTTCATGAATAATCAATCTGCTTAGAAGTGAATGCCTAGAGATTCTGTCTTGAAGCTTATGTTTGTGCAGTGGAATAAAATCTGTTTTTTGGTAGAAATCTTGTAGCATATTTTAGGTTTCCTGCAGCATAAATGTGAGTTGTTGCATGGATGAGTATGCCTGGCAAAATGTCCTATACAGTCACTTTATAAAAAGTTAAGCAGCAAAAAGAAAAGGTCTGATTCCACATGAGTTTTATAAATGTATAGTCACAGTAGAGCCATATTAGGGCAATGCTCTGACTTTTCCCCCTTTTCTATGTAGCCTATATACCTAAGGAAAATATACATAAGATATATCTGACTACAGGTCAAAAAACATCTTTGATAATTTTTCTCAGACAGATACATTTAAATATAATTACTTTTGCAAAATGCACAGTGGATAGTATTACACTGGTACTGCAAGACCTACGTAAGTGCCAGCTCTATCAAATCATGCACGTGAATTACACATTGTGCTTATTGTCTTATTAGCTTAGATGACTTGATTGTGTTTTCTTCAGTTCTACAATTCCAGAGTGTTCAGTTGGTTCAGGAAACAGAGAGAAAATGATCGTGGTTTAAAGATTTTGAACATTTGTATACTGACTGAGAAGGAGAGACAAAACTCCCCCTGTGATTATATCAGCATTGGACTGTGTATAATACATCTCAGCAGCAGGGATGTTGCTGAGGAAATTAAGGTGTAATCGAGATTCAGACTACGAGACATCTGTGCCATCCTCAAGTGCATGCACAGAATTGCTAACACATTATAGGAGGAAACAGGGCGAGGATGCTGTATGTTGGCTCTGTTTCCTCTCATAAATCAAGTGAAAAGCCCAAACTCTGAACTAGAATGAACTAGAATTAGAATAGTCATGAAAACACTTCTCTTTGGCATGTGTGCAATAAATAGATAAACAATGGATTAGGAAATTTAGAGATGGTCACTCCACTCTTGCAAAAAAAAAAGAAAAAAAGAAAAATGACTATATACCGGATTAAAAATCCAGTATATCTGCAAATCAGGAATCGAGATAGTGCTCCTCTGCTTCATGTTCACCAGCGCTTATAGATTTCAAACAACTTACAATGTATTGGCCGCAGAGTGCGTGGAGATAAAGTAAGTAAGTGAGTAAAATATGCATGATTATCGATGTGATACAGGCTACTGATTGGACCTCTATCTGGATTCACACGCTCCGGAGCAGTAGATGGCGATGTGGAGTTTCAAACGACGTCACACAGAACGGAAGAAGGAGCAGAAAAACAGAAGACGAAGAAGAAGCTTGCACGTGTATCCAACATGTCTGCCTACCGTGTTGAGATGCTATGAGCTGTGTTGGCTAGTATTTGCTACTTTGACGCCCCTTTGTTCCGCAGACCGTACAGTAAAAGTTACCGAAGAGAGCACTAAAGCCTCAGGATGGCGCAGAGGAAGAAGAAGCTGACGAAGAAGAGGAGATACACGGGCAACAGAGACCACGAGGTCGACTCTGACAGCGGAGACGTTCAGCTGGCTGCTGAAATTAAGGACGATGAATCCGTAAGGAACAATATTTTAAGATAACTCGCGAAGCAGTTGACTGCTGAAGCATTTGATGAAATTACATGTTGTTTTGAGCAGCTCGTGACACCTAAATAGCGTGTATATACCCATCCACACATACGTCATCAAACGTATTGAACACTACTTTGATGTTATGTAAACATACATTGATTTTCATACTAACTGTTTTCTTACCCCATGATGCATTTGGGCATAAACTGTTCAGTGAAGAAGACATCACGTGGCCAGCAGTTCCAACTTTTTATGTGAACAATGTTTGTGTTTTACAATTCAATTAATCTATCTTGTCAGAATTATCCAGGGGAACATGTGTACTCCTTCTATTTGAAGAAACATGTTTCAATCGCAGAATTCAGCAAAATGCCTTGATAAAATAACTATTTTTTTGGGGTACCTCTGTCATGTTGTTAAGACACCTTTGCTGTGTTTTGTTATTGGTTTCCACAGCCAGGGAAGAAACTCATGCGGTTCCTGGCCACATCCGACTGCCTGTCAGACGTGGAGCCCGACACCCGGCTGCTGGTCAGAGCCCAGAACAAGAAGAAAAAGAAGTCTGGCGGGTTTCAGTCCATGGGTAAGACCTCGCGAGGAGTGTACAGATACCCCTGCTTGTCCACTGGTTGAATATCTACTTTAAGTAACGTCTGATTTGTTTCCCCAGAGGCAATCATATTTATCTACAATGTGTATGATTTCAGGTCTCAGTTACCCTGTGTATAAAGGCGTCATGAAGAAGGGTTACAAAGTCCCTACTCCGATCCAAAGAAGGGTAAGTCGGTGCCAGTAATGAATCCCTTAATCAAACATCTGGGACAGCACGATATTTCATTCAAAATTCTTCTCTTCACCACTTCAGACTATCCCAGTGATTTTGGATGGCAAGGATATGGTAGCCATGGCCAGGACTGGCAGTGGCAAGACGGCTGCCTTCCTGGTGCCCATGTTTGAGAAGTTAAAAGTGCCTCAAGCCCAAACGGGAGCCAGGGCCCTAATCCTGACCCCCACCAGAGAGTTGGCCCTGCAGACCATGAAGTTCACAAAAGAGGCCAGATGAACAGACTGATTGTTTACTGTTGTTTATACAGTCCCTGTGATTTAGTAGTGTCCCTGACTTCTCTCTGTCACTTTATTTTGGTATTGTAGTTGGGAAGATTCACCGGCCTCAGGATTGCCTTGATCCTTGGTGGAGACAGGTTGGTGTTCTCTCGATATTCGTTTTCTGTTGTACTCGGATCTGTGCAATTGTCCTTTTTAACTCTGCAATGAATGTAAATGTCTCTAATTCTTTTTCCAGAATGGATGATCAGTTTGCCGCTCTCCATGAAAACCCCGACATGTGAGTGTCTTGTTTTACCGCTAACTCATAATGTCGACTCTCCCCATCCATGTACTGTACGTTTTAACCCTGATCTTTGCTCTTTCCCCCTTAGAATCATCGGTACGCCCGGTCGTCTCATGCACGTTATCAAGGAGATGAACCTGAAGCTGCATGGTGTGGAATACGTGGTGTTTGATGAGGCCGACAGGTAAGAAGTGGAATTGGTGTCATGTTTTCAATTCACACCCTGGATTCACACTTGCACGCATGAATGTGTGAACGAGTCTGTTTTTTTTCTTCCTCCTCCTCTCAGGTTGTTCGAAATGGGTTTCGCCGAGCAGCTTCAGGAGATCATCCGGAGGCTTCCAGACAGCAGACAGACTCTGCTGTTCTCTGCCACTCTGCCCAAGCTGCTGGTGGAGTTTGCCAGAGCTGGTGAGATCACTAATCACTTCTGTTTTACATGCATGCATCAAGATTGAAGATGCTTTTGAAGATCATCATGTAACCATCTTTTTATGTTTCCAGGGCTGACTGAACCAGTGTTGATTCGTTTAGATGTGGATTCTAAACTCAGCGACCAGATTAAGGTAAAGAGTTTATTAAACACTAAAGGGTTGGTAGACTTGGTCCTCTCGTTGAAACCACGGATTAAAGAGGGGAAACATGCAAAGTTTTACAAATTAATGATGTGCTCAATAATAATTTATATATGACATGTTACTGCTGAAATGGGATGTAACTTCCATCCGAGACTGTGTGATAAAATATTTAATAATTTAAATAAATATGACGGATAAAGGTGCATGTTGTATCTGTCGATCCTGTACAAAATTTTAATTTCTCCCGTCTTCCCTCAGCTGTCATTTTTCCATCTGCGCATGGATGACAAGCAGGCGCTGCTGCTTCATCTGCTGAGGAACATAGTGAAGCCTCAGGAGCAGACGGTGGTGTTTGTAGCCACTAAACACCACGTAGAGTACATCAAGGAGGTAAGATACAAACCTCAGTGACCCCACACACATTCTCACTAAGCCCATGTGAAGGTTTCCTCATATTTAAGAAAATATCACCTTTTTGATTTCTTTTGTTTTCATGTTCAGCTGCTGACTTTAGAAGGAATCGAGTGTGCCTACATCTACAGCGCCCTCGATCAGACTGCCAGAAAGATCAACATAGGGAAATTTGTGCACCGGAAAGCCATGGTGCTAATTGTGACGGACGTTGCTGCTCGTGGTATAGACATCCCCATGCTGGACAACGTCATCAACTACAACTTCCCCTCCAAGCCCAAGCTCTTCTTGCACAGAGTTGGTAAGCGGCTTGCACGATGAATCGTGATCTTGATCAGGGGAAGAAGTGATGAGCATGATGTGATCCATTTTAGTTTGGCCATTGTCATCACCTGTCTTTTCCCATCAGGCCGTGTGGGACGTGCTGGACGCAGTGGCAAAACCTACAGTCTGATTTGTCCAGATGAGATGCCTTTTGTCTATGACCTTCACCTCTTCCTTGGAAGGCCGGTTCAGTTTGCCACACCTGAACACACACCAGGTAGGCTTTGCGGGTTCGCCTGCCAGGACTTCAACTGATGAGTATACTCTTGGATTGATTAGTTGTCATAATCTTTGGCTCTCTGCTGCTCGTCCCCTCCTCCCAGATTTAGAGGGTGTGTTCGGTCGGGTCCCTCAGAGTATCCTGGATGACGAAAGTTCTCATTTGTTCACGGTTCACGAGAACTCCCTGGACCTGCAAAACATGCACCACGTCTCCGAGAACGCCTACAAGCAGTATCTCAAGTCTCGACCGAGCCCCTCACCCGAGTCCTTCAGACGGGTCAAAAACACAGATCTGTCCAGCATGGCCGTCCATCCACTACTAGGTGATTTTGGAGGAGGATGTCTGATGAAGAGAACGGTGATGATGGTGCTCAGGCAGTAGTTTGTAACAACCTTTTGATTGATCTTGTGTCAGGGTCTGGTTTGGAGAAACTGGAACTGGAGCGCCTTCACATAGTCGATGCCATCAAAGGCTACAAATCCAAAGCGGTGCGTTCCAGTAGATGATAATGTAGACATCTCGTAGCGCAGAAATGTGCTGCTGACCCGTGACTGCACATTAAATTGTTCTCCTTTTTGTCTTCACGTAGACCATCTTTGAAATCAACTCCAACAGTAAGACGCAGGCCGGTGAGGTCATGCGGGCCAAGCGCTCCAAGGACAAGCGGCTGGTGGACAAATTCAGTAAACAGAGAGTCAACCTGGCTGCAGAAAGCCGGCTGCACCAGCCCGTCAAACCCACCACCACCGCTGACGATTATACACACAACACGGGCGAAAACGAGGATGATGATATGAAGGCAAGAAACACTCGTGCCTCTGCGGTGTTATGATTTGAAACCAAGCAGCTACAATCCGTCTCTTGAGCCCAAAGATATTCAGATTATCGTCTATTATTATAAAGAGAAGCAGCAAACACATTAACCATTCAAAACCATTTGCTGCTGATCAACTCATTAAATCGAGTAATCAATACAGCGCTTATATATATGAAAATGCCAGCCTAAATGTCAATGTTGAACGTGTAATTCGTCATGTGTCCACCAGGGGGTGTTCACTGTCGTAGGAGGTGGAAAAAAGAGAAGCCTGCAGGAATATGGGGAAGAAGGACAACAGAACAAGAGAAGCAGACCGTCAGGCAAAGATGAGGAGTTTTACATCCCCTACAGACCCAAAGACTTCGACTCTGAGAGAGGGTAAGATGTTAAACATTGAGATTTTTTTCAAGGTGAAAAAAAAAAAGACATCAACCTTGATTTACAATGTATTACCTGTGTGTGATAACCTGCGACACGTCCGTGTGGCTTTAGGTTAAGTCTCGGCGGAGAGGGCAGTGCCTTTGAACAGCAGGCCTCCTCAGCTGTCCTGGACCTGATGGGAGATGAGGGAAACAAGTTAAACCAGCACAAGAGCATCATGAAATGGTGAAAATTCAATCTAAATCTACTTCTCTCCTCCTCTTTCTGATACCTCATGCCTCCGATTCTGCTATTTATGAGCATAATTCAGTGTCTCTCTGTCATTTGTAGGGATCGTAAAAAGAAACGCTTTGTGAGAGATGCAGGAAAGGAGGACCAGAAGAAGAGGCTCAGACTAGATGGTGGACAGGTCATCGATAACAAGAAGAACAAGAAGAACTTGTATCCTCTTTGTGTACTTGTTTACTATTACGGTTCCCTCTCACTCTGACAGTATTTAACTGTGTTGTTGAGATGTTATATCCCTTAACTACACGTCAGTTACGATGAGTGGAAGAAAAAATACAGGGTCGATGATGGAGGATCTGGCTCTGATGGAGAAGGAGGAAGAGGACGAGGAGGACGAGGAGGACGAGGAGGACGAGGAGGGGGGAGGCCAGGAGGAGGTAGGAGAGCAACTGTAGTCTTAACTTGAACAGTTTAGAACGAATCCCTTACATCTGAGGGACCGAAAAAAGTAATAATTGTTTACTCATAGGTAAAATGTGATGCATCCCTGAAATATGATAATAAATCCATGTCTCTGTATTATCCGTCTCCCAGGTCGCGGTCGAGGCCGTGGTCGTGGTCGTGGCAGTAATCCCAACTTCCAGAGCCCTGTAGGACAGCAGCAGGCGCCCGGTGGCCTCAAAGTGCGCTCGGAGCTGAAGTCGAGGGAGCAAATCCTAAAGAGGCGCAAGAAAGAGGAGAAGCACCAGTTCCTGCAGGGCGGTGGCATGAGGAACCTCCGAACCAAAAACAAAAAGTGGCTCGGAGAAGTTAAGAAGTCCGGTTTTGGACGGGGTGATTCAAAGAAGGGCAAGATGAGGAAGAAACTCTGAGTAGGACACAGAGGGAGAACTATCGCGGCGGGACGATGGCGGGACGGAGGGCGCCGTGAGGGGACTGGATGATAGATACCATTATCCTCCCGCACCACCTTCAATAAATAGTGATTATGGATAAAAGAAGAGTTGAGGAAAGCATTTCTACACTGTAGAGATGAACTGCTGAGCTCTAGATTTGACACAGAGTATGTATAAGAATGATCCAGTGAACTGGAGTTTCCTCTTTTATCTGTGTCGGCAGATTGTTTTTGAGTACTCGGATATTTCTATACACGTAATGAACTGTTGGCAAAATATAGATGTGATTAAGATAATATTCTGTGTCTTCTTCAATTGCAGTCAGTTGCATGTTGATACAACAAACAAAAGTGTGTTTTAATGTGAATTACCCAAATATATACATTTTTATTCCTGAAGCTGAGGGACTGGTAAGTGTCCCTGATGTGCATATCTGCATTAGATATTGGTTCTGGTCCATAACTTTTGAAAAAAGCGGGGAATGTCTTTAAGAAATGTGGCTCTGGCTACATATGGTATGACAATATGGCTCCATTAAACAGGGTTCTAGTACCAGGGGAACCGTGGTCTGACTTTCTCTCTGGGGTTCTTTTGTGCGTTTAGTTGCCGTTTAAATGAAAGCACCGGCGGGGAAACCACAGGCTGTGAAAGGATGTTTGATGTGACTTTGTTCCCTGCCGTCGTCCTTCGTATTTGTTGGTGTGTCGTTCCTTCCCGCTGGTGTAAAGTCTGGATTGCTCCCAGTTTCTGCCTCGGTGGATGATGTGAATGAAAAATGAGGCACTGGTTTGTACGAACCTTTAAAACTGAGCGCTACGGTCCAAAAAATTCAGCTTCTCATAATCCATCTCCTTTGATGTTGTTATCCACCAAATGATGTGTTAAGTGAAAGAGCTGAAACCACTGGTTCTGTTATTTTCTACGTTTTAGGTTTTTGCTAATGAGTAGTTGGAAATAGCACAGCATCTTCATACGGTACGATGCTGCACCCTTTTGGTGGAAAACTAGCACTGCAAGTGTATCGGAGTGTCCCAGAAGATAGTTTGGATGCTTAATCAATACAACACAGGTGTCGATTATAACTGACGATTAGAATTATAACAATATTTAACTGGAATATTGATGGATAAATATCTAATGTCTTGTATTATAGTGGTATTTATTAAGTATTATGGTTCTAAAATGACTAATGGATTAATTCTAGTACAAATAACCACTGATTTATCTTGCTTTTGACATTACGTTTTAGTCTTTTAGGGATCTTTCCCTGAATATCAAGGCTTGACGTGTTTAAATTTCCACCAAACTGAATGAAACAAGATGTACTGTTGATTTAATTTGCATTAAGACGAGTACTAGTTAAACTTTATTTAAAATGATAATCTTTGGGATTGTGTTCAATGATATAGTAAACTAGAGTTTGATCTGTTAATATTGGCCTGGTAGCTTCACATCTGATAAGCATCACAGCCGACTTTTTTTTTCTGGCCACGTGAAATGATCATGTAATTTATTTCCTGCAGAAGATGCAACAGTCGATCATCCGGCGAAGGAGTATTCTCTCATTTCTTCAGCTGCTGGGAAGGTGAAAAACATGACCACATGCGCAGCAGCCTCGGACTAAAGAGCAGCACTGTACCAATGAAAGTGAGGGAGACGAGTAGCTCGCTCCATCTGGATGTGGTTACAGTGCTCGCTGTGTTTTTGGATGATATGCGTACATGCCATCATAGGTTATTCATGGCTGCACTGAATCAAGGGCTGAGATTTGTGTCTTCCAGTCATCTGTGTGAATGCTACTAAAGATGGAGGAAAGTGGGTGGTAGGTGGATAATGTATTTGGTTACCAACACAGCAGGTTAGTCATGGAGATTGTCACAGGACACACCAGAACACCGTCATGTTTCACAGCGGGGTGATCTTCCGAATAACACGTTAATAAAATACACCAGTTGCTCTGTCTCGGGGCTAAAAGCAAGTTTCAGGTTGCTATGCAGTTTATGAAGCCTCAACTGTATCAGTATTGTATGAAGGAAATATAAAGTGAGATTATTCATATATTTAAACAACTTTCTGGGACTAATAGTAATGTTATACATTACATTCATAAATATAGAGGAAATAAAGCTACATATTATAAAAAACAATAGAATTGTCAATATATTACATGCAAAATATATTAATATAATACTTTGCACTAGAATCTTATTCCTAGAGATTATCGAATTGTTTTTTGATGTTGTACCTGCTTCACTTTTGAAATAGCTTCTCAGTATAATTCACATTCGCTGACATTTTGACATCTAAACATTTAATGAGCATACTGTACATTAATAGATTTCATGTGGAATAAAGAGCATTCACACATGCAAACAAGTCAATAGTCAAAATATGTCATAAAACAAGGAAGATAACGGTCTGTGGGTATGTGCATACGTCCTTTGCATAACTCGAGAACCGTTCATCCGATCTACTTCACACTTGGTGGGTGTGTTGCTGTGGAATCAAGGACGTGTAGTGACAAATTCTGGCTTAGAAAGCGTTCTGTTCCATATTCCATACAGTCTACGGTTCTGCTCAGCTGGAGGGGCGGAGGTTCAGGGCTCTGCAGACTGCGTTCCAATACTCACACTACCATACTATTTAGTATGCCACAAAAAAAGAATGTCCCAATACATAGTATGTCAAATGCAGTTTACGAAAAATACCAGGATGTTCTGTCTATCCGGTCGCATTTTACAGTGTGCAAGCCAGCATGCTTTCCTCCCTATTCTGACCCACAATCCTTTGGTCAGCAG